ACCAGATGCACCAAACCCTCCCAAAATTATTGTAAGGTTGGGCATATTTTGGTATCAAACTTCCTCTGCCATGGGTCATATATGAGGGAGTCTGAAAACCAAAACCTGTTCTATTTACTGCACAGAAGAGATCACAGAATCGTAGAATAGTTTGGGTTGGAAGTGACCTTTAAAGGTCACCTAGTCCAACCACTCTGCAGTCAGTAGGGACATCTTTAGCTAGATCAGGGTGCTCAGAGCCCCATCCAACCTTATCTTGAACGTTTCCAGGTTTGGGGGCATCTACCACCTCTCTAGGCAGTCTGCTCCTGTATTTCACCACCCTCACTGTAAAAAATTTCCTTATATTGGGTCTAAATCTACTCTTCTTGAATTTAAAATCATTACTTCTCGTCCTATCAGAACAGACCCTGCTAAAAAGTTTGCCTCTTTCCTGTATCTTGAACGTTTCCAGGTTTGGGGGCATCTACCACCTCTCTAGGCAGTCTGCTCCTGTATTTCACCACCCTCACTGTAAAAAATTTCCTTATATTGGGTCTAAATCTACTCTTCTTGAATTTAAAATCATTACTTCTCGTCCTATCAGAACAGACCCTGCTAAAAAGTTTGCCTCTTTCCTGCAGGCCCCCTTTAAGTACTAGAAGGCCTCTATAAGGTTTCTCTGAAGCCTTCTCTTCTCCAGGCTGAACAATGCCAACTCTCTCAGCCTGTCCTCACAGGGGAGGGGCTCCAGCCCCCTGATCATCTTCATGACCCTCCTCTGGACCCACTCCAACAGCTCAATGTCTTTCTTGTGCGGAAAACTCCAGAGCTGGACACAGCACTGCAGGTGGGGTGTCACTAGGGCAGAGTAGCCGGGGAGAATCACCTCCCTCGACCTGCTGGCCACACTTCTCTTGGTGCAGCCCAGGATACGGTCGGCTTTTTGGGCTGCGAGTGCACATTGCTGGGTCATGTCCAGATTTTTATCCCCCAGCACCCCCAAGCCCTTCTCAGCAGGGCTGCTCTCAATCCCTTCATCCCCCAGCTTGTATTGAAACTGGGGATTGCCCTGACTCAGGTGTAGGGCCTTGCACTTGGCCTTGTTGAACCTCGTGAGGATCAAAAAGGCCCACTTCTTGAGATTGTCCATCTCTCTTTGGATGACATCCCTCCCCTCAGTCCTGTCAACCACACGACTCTGCTTGGTGTCATCTGCAAACTTGCTGAGGGTGTGCTCGATCCCAACATGTGTGTCATTGATGAAGATACTAAGCAGCACTCATCTCGTCAGGCTGAGCGGTTACAGAAAGAAGCACAACAGGAGAACAGACGAGGAGCAGCGGCTGCCTGCTCTGCACCCCTGCCCGGGGACAGGGGCAGGAAGAACTGGGTCCTGCTGCACAGCTGCTAACATCAGGCTCACCAGTAACTCCTCAAAAAGTTTCTTCAACAAAATGCAGGCAAGTTCTGGCACTTCATTTAACTTCAAGCATAGAAAGGAAAAAGCCTAAAAAGCCAAAAATAAGATCTCTTTAGCAGCTGACATACTCCACTGTCATTTTACCCAACCAAACTGATAGCCTGGCCCTCGAGCTGGCTGAATGCGCCACCGACGCACTCGATGGCCAGAACGATAGTGACAAATTGACTTTGGAATTAATTCCCCTTAAGCCTTATCTCAGAGATTATTATTGCTATCAAGGCAGCTGAAGAAAGTCTACCGTCCCTCCACTGAAATTTCTTCCTCTGAGACAACAATTATTGAAAAAAAAAAAAAAAGAAAAAAGAAAAAAAGAGAAATCCACAAATCGCTCAGACTGAACACGAATGTAATCATGCCTGGTGCTTTATATATACATTTCTGGATTAACTCTGACCCAGCTATATAATCTTTTAAGAGCTAAAATGAATCCTGGGCTGTACAATGATGTGATTATCTAAGGAAGAAAGAGAGAGGGGGAAAAAAAATATATTTTTTTTTCCCTGCAGCTAGACCTTGCTAGAACAGACAACATATCATAGCTGCTGATATGTTTATATACCAGCCCGCCCTACTACAGAAAGTAGAATATTTTCAGTCCAATACACTGGTGAGTTTTGGGGTGGACTGAAGCTGCCAACTGATTCAGTATTGTTGCATGTGGTAAGAAGCCCAAACTGTGCTTTTTCTACACTATTGATTTACCAGGAAGAATTGCTTCCCCTCACACAGAAGCAGCTAAACAGAATGCAAAATTTAAAGACTGTTCAAAACAAAATTGATCAATTTTTTTTTCCTTCTAGTTAGTTGGAACTGATTTGTGTATTGTATGTCTAGTTGCATGAACATGAGTGTGCTGCAAGAAGGTGATGGAAATGGGAAGGGTTAAATGGCTTCTTAAGTGTTCATTCATAAATACATACTAGATCTCAAGCATTAAATCCAGCAGATGCCTACCCTATTGGTACTAATCTTTATCAGCATAAAATCCCGAAAGCTTTTAAAGATGGTGAGACTTTAGGACAAAAATTAAAAGAATGTAACTGCTCAGTTATGTTGACATTAAACTTGGGGAAAAAAGGGAAAATCAAAGCGACAGCTACACATACTTCATTCCTTTAAAAGGATATGTTTTCCTAATGAGACCTAAACTGCTTTTCTTCTTATTTTGTATTGGTTTTACCCAAGCTCCTCAAGGTAAGGAAAATAATTGGAGCGCACTTGTTTTCCACTTAGTTAAATTCATTTACTACCAGAGAATGCAGTTACATCAAAAAATGCATCCTTTCTGCTTGGTCTCATCTCGTACATCAGACTGAGTCCTCAGCAACGATATCCCAGGGTAAACAGTCCACACCTAGAGATGCAAGGTGCAAGCTAGAGAAAACGGATTGTATTTGTAAGAGCATGCAAGCACAGCACACTGCCAACACACAGCCCTGTGTTTCCTTATTAATTGTTAAATAAAAACAGGCTCCTGAGTGACATTTATGGACATTGCTTCTGAAGCTCTGGGTGCCTCCCTGCAGAAATGGCAATCCAGCCCTCGGGCAGGTGCAATCCTCTGCTTCCCACCGGACTTCTAGAAAGTCAGGAGAAGACAGGATCAAGAAGTAAAAACTAAACAAAACCAAACCCTCCGACTACTCAGAGAGACATTGCGATCACAGCCCAGTTCGAAAGCCTTTGCTGAAACTGAGGATGCTACAAGAGCCGCTGAGCTCTGGCGCGCTGGTGGCACAGAGCACCACCCAACTCCCACCTCCCATCCCTGCTGGAGATGGCCACAGTGGGGCTGTTGGGCTGTGCTCAGGGGCAGCCACGCTGCACCCTCTGCAGCTACACAGCATCTTCGCCCCATGTCAAAGGCACGTTTCACCAACCACTCCAAGTCCGCCTGAAGACGGAGGGAGGTTTAGGGAAGTCCTGGTGCTTGGACAGCTGGGTGCTCACAGTGCACCTCTCCATAACCACGGCCCTCTCCACGGGGAGCCTGACAGCAGCACCCCCAGGGAAAGGTGAAGTTTGCAATGGTCCCTCACACGCCAACATTTCAGCCGCTTTGCTCTCAGGCACCATCCAGCACTGCAGCTTCATGGCTCATCGTTTCTGAGCGGTGCCAACAAATTAATACAAATCCTGTCAGACTTACTCTCCTGTTTCTTGCTCTGCTGATTTTTGCCCCAACCACCCTTCCAAGCCCACAAGCTGCCAAGGGGAAAAAAGCAACCGCTGAATCCCAAACGTGCAACTTAATCTACCTTCCAAGGGACCAATCCACACTGGTGTAACTGTGACTGCGGAGAGGTGAGGCTGCACATCCCAAACTGGACATGCAAGTCTGCTCCCCAGCCCCTGCACGCAGACCCCTGTGTCATGTTCAGCACGACCCTTGCCACTGCGCTACCTCCACAGCTCAGTGGAAGAGCTGAAATTCTCTTCTCCAATACAGTCCTGATCCCAGGTGCTTTCAGAGGGAAGGGAGGAGATTCTGCCACATTTTAAATTTCCTAGAAACTACTTAAGAAAATCACAGGCAGCATTCTGGCAAGGTGGTCTTTACTTAGCATGAAAAGAAAAAGGACAAAGCAGAATAACTGCCTTTAGAGAAAGGAAAAAAGCGTAAGTCACACGTTGCCTTCAGACTACCCTAGTTTGCTAGAAGATGCAACTTTAACGATGCTTCCATTCGGTCCATTTTCACGTGGGTGATGGAGAAGTTTAAGAATCGAAAGAGCACCAAGGAAACTTCTCTCTCAGTGCATCCCTCGCCCCAGCGCCCCAACAGCAGCGGCTCCGTTAAAATTCCTCCTTGCGTTTCAGGCAGCAGCTCCGGGAAGCCCCTCACCCTCCGGGACACCCAGCGCAACAGCACCGGTCACCGCTCGGGCGGGCAGACAGACCCCCTGCGCCGGCAGCAGGAGGGTCTCCCCCGGCTTCCCACCGGCGTCCCGGGGCTGCCGGCGGGGCGGAGCGGGGACGGGCAGCGGAGCCGCGGTGCTGCTCCCCGCTGCGCTGCCGCGGGGCGGCACCGCTCCCGCGGGAAGGGTGAGCGGGGGCTGGGGCTGTTCGGGACAGAAAATACATCCAGTGGGTGTGCGTGTGTATGTGTGTATATAGATATATAGTGTTATACTATATATATAGTACAGTGCTATGCTAAGTGTACAGTGTTATACTATATATATAATAGAGTACCATACTATACATAGTGTGTCTATATATACATGCTATACATATATATACACACACACACATCCCATACATACCATGTATAGTATTTTGATATAAATACACCATATATATATACTTTTTGCTGAGTAAGAGCACAGGGTCATTTCGGAGGGATGCTCCGCGACTTCATCCCTCACAGAAAAACCCGCACCCAAACGGAGGGCAGTCGCAGGGGACCCGGACCCCAAAGGCGGGCACAAGGGGCGGTGAAAGAGCCCCGAAGGAGGGCAGGATTTGCCCTGCGGGGACCCCCTCCAGCCCTTCCACCCCTCATTTTGGGAGCTCGGCGCTGCGCGGGTCTCACCTTGGGGTTAGTACGGAGCTGCCGCTCGTCCTCATGGAGAAGGGCAGGGAGGGAGGAGCGGGAGGTGCGGACCAGGACCTGGAGACAGGGGTAGCGGGCGGTACCGCGACAGGCGGCCCCGCAGGAGAAGGTACAGGCGAAGCGTTCCCCCAGCTGCCGCACCGCCAGCACCGTGCAATTCGCGGAGCCGCCGCCTCCCCGTTCTTGTAAAGCCGGGCGTAACCAGCAACAACCCAAGCCCAGGAGGGAAAGCAAACCGGCGGCGATGAGGAGAAAACCCAGCCGCATGCTTTTGTCCTCCGCCTC